TGCTAGAATGAGCGACACGATCACCCTATGCACAAGAATTCTTCTAACCACTCAAGATCTTCATGGCAAAGGGATGAACCATGGAGGGTCCGGTGAAGTCAGAGTTCGAGAAGGCAGGAAGAAGAGAAACATAGTCGAATAGTTGAGTTGCTCTCGCTGGGGTCGATGGGCGTTTTATAGCCGGCCTAGAAGGATGAATTCAAGTGCCCGTGAAGCAATGATGCTTTCGTAAAAGTTGTGAAGCATGGGCTCATGAGCTGACATAGGCAACAACAAACGGTGGACCCTAGATCAAGGTTCTCAACCCGTGACTGTGGACCAATCAAGGATACAGACAGGATAATTTTGGAATAAAATTACTTTTATCCCAAAATTGGGGGGCATGTGTTTACACCAGAATTTGGAAGAAGGATTTCAAAGGCTCGAAAGCTCCCCAAAACCATGTCAACAAGGGATCAATTGCGTGTAGATCAAAAATAGCTGATTCAGATGCAACACTAGAATCGGCTTTCTTCAGATAGCGCTAGCGGATAACGACAAAAGCTATGATCGTCGCTGGGACCAGACATGCTGGACTCTACAAAAAAGGAAAGATTAGAGTCCAAGTTATTTTAAATTAGGAATGTTTTCATTTTTATGCTAAAGATTGTAACAAATTGTGCTCGAGTAGGATTCATGTCTAGACTCCGGGTATAAATATCAAACCCCGGCTATTGTAAAAAACAACAATCAATCAAATACAAGTCAATTTACTTTTTTCGGCTCCAGCCACCCCTTAGGAGTAGGAGTAGAGTAGATCTCGGCGAGTTCTTCAGTAAGTACGGCTGCATCGATTCGGTCAACCTCCACTGCTTGTTGTAAGTACCGTCATGGTTTATACCTCTGTTCGTATGGCTGCATCAATCCGGTCGACCCCCACTACGGATCTGCTCCATCGAGCGGACCCTTCCGGCTTGCTGTGTGTGCCTTCGGTACAGGACGAAATTATGTGTCGACACTAACCGCCAAGAGGACAGCGTGAAGAGAGAGACCTACCTGCACCTCGCCGCTGTCACCACCGCCACCGCACGGGTTGTTCACCGAGATCTCGCCGGTCCGACGCACGATCTCCGCCTCGGGCTCGGGCCTAAGGGCACCACCGTGGTGCCGCTCGACGATGCTGTGCGCGGCTCCGGCCGCACGCGTGCGCCGGCGAGGGGTGCCACGGCGGAGCCGCCATCCCCGCGTCGCGTCCGCTTTGAGCTCTCGGCTGCGCTCTGTCGCTCGCAGGACTGAGAGAGAGAAAGGGCAAAGGGAGAGAGGCGGGGACAAGAATGGGTTAGGGTTTCGGGTGCTGACCGCTGCGTCGCCGTTTTGATCCGCCGAGAAGGCCGCGTGACCGTCGATCTAGATCGGATGGTGCAGAACGATCGGGCCAACAACCAGTGAAGGGAGCATTGTGTCACATGTGCATTGCTGCCTAGGCCGAGTTGCGACACACAGGTGCGAGCGTGTGCGTGCAAGGTAAGGGAGCTGGGCCGGGCGGCTTTTGGCGTCTTGGGCCGAGAACCAGTCAAGATTCAACCTACTTTTTTTTTTTTTTTGTTTTCCAGTAAATGTTTATTTCTAGAAAATGAAAAATGGCTCAAAGAAAATAGTAGAAAAGTGAATTTTTCTGTGGGTAAAATTCACAAATTATGTTTAAGTTTCTGATGCAAAGTTTAAAGTTAATTATCTTCTAATTAAATTCGAAGCAACGGGAGAATTTAATTTGAAGAGCAGTTGTATTTAATAAATTATGATTATATTGATCCTCTAATTAAATTGGAACCAACAGAAAATTTTAATTAGAGGAGTAGTCCATTTTTTTGTTTAAGTCAGATTATGGTATTGTCATTTTCTGACCAACGTTGATGATGACAATATTATAATGAGTTCAAGTTTTGAGTTTTAAATTTCTGATAAATTTCACACCAACATGGTCAACTTTTCAAAGAGTAGATAAGGACCAAGAATTATTCCTGAACTAATAGAATGAATTTTATTAACATGTTTCCGCTGCAATGAAATAGACTATCTTCTAATTAAATTTGGACCAACGGAAGAATTTAATTTTGAAGGGTAGTTGTATGTCTTTCAAGTTAATTTATGAGTTTTATGTATTAATTCTATTTTGTGCCTAACGGTGATGTAGAATTGATGTAGAAGCATATTGTATGTTTTATTTTTTAACCGACGAGATCACTCGGCTGCATGTCAAGGGGCTGCAATGCTGGGGTATGTAAATAAAAAGGCTTGAGTCAAGCCAGTTCATGACAGTTTTTGCTAGTTTACTAATTTTTTGATTAAATTGGAACCAACGGAAAGATTTAAATGGAAAATGAAGTTTAAGTGAATGTTTTAGTCATCATGACTAAGTTTTCATATAGATGTATCCCGCATGGGGAGACATTTTGGCATAGTAATTATGCTAGTCCATCCAGCATGGCGGGAGAAGTTTTGTGACGATTCACATATTTTGTATCCCGCATAGCGAGAGAAGTTAGGGTAGCTCTTATGATGTCCTAATATTGACCTTGGCACAATAGAAATGCATAGTCATGGTCAATACTAACCAAAAGATAAGAAAAGATGCAAGTGTGACTTGTAAAAATATCGCTAATGAAAGACCTCGTTAAGTTCTTAAAGTGAATTAAGGAAAGTGTACTACTAAACGGATCAAGAAATAACTTTATTTACATGACACAATCATGTGAATGAAGTAAGGTATAAGTGTCCTCGTTTACAGGCTTTCTGAATAGTTATCGATATTATGGCAGTAAAGTTCATGCCATGTTTCGAGGGGGAGAAAAATATAAAGATCAATTAAGAAAGATACTCTTCATTAAGAAGAGTAAGATAAAGATTAATTAAGATGAATACGACTGTTGGAGGAGTACAACTGTCACAACGTTGATACCCCTAAGTAGAGAAATAGCTAAATTCCTGAACTTTTTTAAAAATTCTGACAGGAAAATAGCGTAGTCAGTCTCAAAAATGTTAAGGTGGTGCTTAAAGCGCCATATGAGATTTTAACATATTAAACCCAAAATAAGATATTTGAAGAAACACTATCTTTAGAAAAAATGGAAAGATCTAAGGAAGCATGGTATGTAGAGATATGTAGAGACCTAAGACTTGAAGAGAAGAGGGATTGTGTGCCCACTCCAGTGACTCAGGTAACAAGTTTCTCAATACCTGTTGATGTTGTATGATCAATACAACACCTGTTGTTAACTCTTCGAAGAAGATGAATAATGTAAATAAGGATCTTATTATACAGGAGCCTGTAGAATCAATTGTCGCTTGGCAATGAAGAGCAACAACAGCCCATATGAAAGTGCCAGTAACTGAGGCCCTAGAAGGTCTTAAAGAATTAGTAAACCTGTTTTCTGATGACTATGAGGTTTATGGAGGGTGATCCCACCTCATTTGAAGAAGCCATGAGAAACGTTTACTCGTTTAAATGGTAAGAAGCTATGGAAGCTGAAATGAATTCGATGAATACCAACGATGTTTGGGACTTAGAAGTAATTCCTAATGGAGCCAAAACAGTAGGTTGTTAATGGGCCTACAAGATAAAATGTGACTCTAAATGAAATGTAGAAAGATATAAAGCACGACTTGTGGCAATATGATTCAAGCAAAGAGAATGAATAGATTATAATGAGAGTTTTCTCTACAGTCTTATGTAATGATTCTTTTAGAATCATAATAGTGTTAATGGCACATTATGATTTAGAGTTACATCAGATGGATATAAAGACGGCATTCCTCAACGGGGATTTATATGAAAATGATTACATGGCACAATCCAAAAGGTTTTGTCGTGGAAGAAAAGAACATATGGGATGCCGCCTGTAGAAATCAATTTATGGGTCAAAAGTAAGTCTCCAGACAGTAGTATTTAAAGTTGATGAAATAATGATAAGAAAGTTTGGGTTTTAAAGAAAATAAGAAGGACAATAGCGTTTATACGAAGTTCAAGAATGGAAAATTCATTTTCCACATCCTATGAATAGATGACATTCTACTCACTAATAGTGATGTTAATTTATCATTAGAGAAGAAGAAGTTTTGTCCTTAAGTTTTAATGTGAATGATCTTGGTGAAGGCTCATTGGTTCTAGGAATCGAAATTCACCGAGATAGAAAAAATGGGGTATTAGAACTATCGCAAAGGCATACTTAGAAAAGATTCTAAAGAAATAAAATATGCATGCGAGTAAACCTACGTCTGCTTCTATAGTTAAGGGTAATAGATTTGAGAACTTTAAATGTTTTAGGAACCAATATGAGTTCCATCAAAAGAATATGGTTCCATATGTTTTAGTTGTTGGAAGCTTGCTGAGTGTACAAGTACAAGTGAGAACTTACCCTGACGTAGTTTAAGTATCCGGAATATTTTGGCAGAAGTCCAATTCAGATATAGATCCCTGGAATTGAGTTGAGAATGTCTTGCAATTTTGCAAAGTATTATAGGCCTCATGCTGAGTAAGAAAGAATAAGAACTCTCAAATGGTTGAGGGTACAAAAGTTAAGTCTTAGCGAGATGTGTAGTGAAATCCACAATAGTTGCTAACACTCGCAGAATAGATCACTGTGAAATCCACAGCAGTTGCTGATCGGAGGCGTCCAACCACTCCATAGTTGGTGGGCCCTAGTCGCACAATACTATAAAGAGAGGTAGGGGCCGGGCCTTACCATCGCCTCTGCATCACCACTACGTTGGACTCCACCGTGCCGAGCTGCCACGACACTGGCGTCCACGTCGCTGCGGCGCCATGGACCCAACTACGCTAGGGCGAAGTACATGAATAAGTTTCTCCATCTAAGTAAGAGCAGTTTATCCCCTTATCTATGTTTTAGAGGTAGTGTGATGCTTTCACAAGCAATTAATTTGCAGCAAGATCATATATTTCTGACATATATATCGTCTAACATGTCAAAGAATTGCATGAAGATCGGTGGTGAGATCAGATGTTACAAGGTGCTTACCCTGACGAAGGAGTCCCTGACGCACGTCTTCCACCAGTCGGCGGTGGGCATGGCGGCGGCGTGGCCGAAGCAGGGGTGCCTCCTGCTCATGTCGGCGTAGGCGAACTTGAAGCCCTCGTGCACGCGCCCGTAGTCTGGGCACGGCATCCCGGCGGACTTGGCCGCCATGCAGTAGTAGTCGCCGAGCTGGCCCCTGTAGGCGATCAGGGTGCCCGTCACGTCAACGGTCACCAGCCGCAGCCTCGACAGGAGCGACGATATGCTTGGCGATCGACTCCTCTTCCTCTCTGCTACCACCGATCTTTGCTGCAGCGGCCTGCAGCTGGAATCTGTTTGTTCACCATCGACTCATCGTCAAGAAATCATAATGCCATTGCCACATGATAAATAAACGGAAGGAATGCCGTACCAGGAGCAACATTTATCTAGTGGGGAAAGTAGAGCAAAATCATATATGGGTATATATACGTTTGTAGCTCTTGGCTCAAGCTGTCCTGAGCCACAGGGCAAAACGGGAACAAGAAAGAAGCTACTGCTACCTCTATGAACTAAACTGAAGCAACCACGTATCCTCTTCTCTGTATTGATTTCGAGCAAGTGATCTGTCTGGGGAAGGAAGAGCAAACTTGTTCAAGCAGTCGAAGCAAGGATATTTAATTAGAAGGCTAAAATCATTCCTTGCTCAAGAGAAAAAGCAAGTTAAGTCCTAAGTATCCATCAACCCTTGTTCGACAAGAAAAAGAAAATGAAGGCAACAGAGCAATTAGGATGGAGTAAGGCAACAGGCCCACAGAACAATTACACCTTAATAATAACCCGAAACAACTGACTTTGCGAGAACCCAAACAAGGGGCGCCGGAAATCGAAGATGCCAGCAGCCCAGCATTTCCCTTTCCGGACTGAGAGTCCAAGGCATCCGTGTCCCATGACCATGGAAGGTACCAAGGAATCCAAGACGCTTTTGTTTGTCCAACACAAACAAAATTCCAAAATATTCCTCGTGTTGGAAACGACTGTGAATTCTGTTCTCGGCGACCTGGATGGTGACCTTGTGAGACGATGAATGCATTCATACATGTCAGGGGAAGGAAAAAGGACGAGATTTCAGCAATTTAACCACCTCGACTTCAACTTTATAGCCGTATATGTTCTAACCCATTCTGTATCCTGATGCAAGCCTTTCCACAGCTTTACAACCGCGCGTTGCCTGAACAAACATCAAGAAAAGCTAAAAGCATGGCAACCTGGCCTACCTTTGACCTTATAAAGACCACCAACCAGAGAGGGGCGAATGACACGGCACACGGACTGACGAGACGATTTGCAACTACTAAAACCCTGAGTGTATTTACAGAGGTGCTATTCCTTGACGTCTTCAAAGACTTCGTCCTCGTCGTCTCCATTGGCTTCATCAGAATCGTAGCTGTCGTACTGTAGGAGGCTGCTAAAGTCGCTGGATTGTGCCTTGATGAGCCTCTCCTGGATCCTCTCCTTGATGGCTGTCCCCTGAGGAAGTTTTGGAAACAACAATAGATGAATGAGCAGCGGATTCCTAACAAAAGCATACGCTCTATGCTAAGGATGGTCAGAGGGTAACTCACCATTGAGTGGCACCCTTCCTCAAACTTCTCTAAGAAACCAGCCACCCAGCGGTCTGCATTTTCCACCCACTCTTCCTGGAGTTTTGCAACCGTGTTCCACTGTAAACAGACAGGAGTATTTCAGAAAGCTAATCAGCACAAGAGTACCTTCCCTGTTTTTCTTTTTTTTTGGTGCCTCTTTCCCTGTTAAAATCGTATGATGGGGGTAAAAAAACATGATGATAGATGCAAATACCTTCTCCCCTACTTTTTCTTGATGCTGTTTCACTTTGTCACGCAGGTTTTTAAGTCCCATGTTAACTCGCAGTCGTTTTTCCTGTTAAGACATATAAGGGTCAGTTGGACAAGCACAACAAAAACGATACTACCAGACTAATATCAAACAATGCAATTATTGGATATTTGGATATAGCTTTGGGTTTGTATCACATGCCTTGACATAACTAACACCAAGATCCTTTCTAGTGTAGCCCCTGGCCAGATTCCGCATAACATACTCATTATAATCTTTCACAATCCGCATTATAATATCCGATGTTGATATCCCATCAGTGCGCTGAGTCTCCTTAAACTTACCAAGTTTTTTTACCTGATAAAGCAACGTTGCCATTAGTTATTGTCACAAAACCACAGACCAAAATATTATTTAATAATTGATACTGTTAGTATCGAGATTATAAATTTATTTCTTAATCTGGAGCTTAAACAACTCACATGTTCATAAACATCTTTACCGGCTCCACTAGCATCAGCATACCTGTCTTGGTTCAAATAGGAAAAATAGGGTACAGATTAACCAAATATACTTAGATTTCAAACCCAGCATCGTGTAGACCAAAGCCTTTGAATATAATATGAACTCTAAAATGGTGAAAAATGCATTGCAATAATGATGGCCATATGTATCATCTCAGGCAGTTCCTTGGAAATATTTACTGCGTAATGAAGCCATCAAATCTCTTTTAGAAAGAGTGCTTACGGCAGAGAATCATGAGCAACAAAATCAATGTTATGCTTATCCAAGAACTCTTCTGTCACCACCCATGGAGCATCTGGAATGACTTCATCAACCCACCTGGAATGCAGAATAATATATAAGGTACAATTATGGCACTAATAAAACATAAGTATAACAAAGCATGAGAGAGCGGTTACTTGCAATGACGAAGTGACTCATATCGCTCATCCTCAGTCATTACAGTTCTTCCTTTGAATTTGTGTGTCAACTCATCATTGCAGCATCCAACAAGAAGATATGTGTTTGGAAACCTGCAGATTTGAAAGTACTTATTCAGTAGGAGAGAATGTTTTAATAGTGCTTAAGCACAGATGTTAACAAAGGCCAATGGCAGTTCAAAGTTATATGCACAGCACAGATGTGAACAAGGCAAATGGCAGTTAAAAGTTATATGCACAGCACAGATGTTAACAAGGCCAATGGCAGTTCAAAGTTAGATGCACTCATTTCACTAAATAAGAACAAAAAAAGGGTTGTTTCGTGTTACACTAGATTAAGGTAATACTGTCACTACGAAGTAACCTTTAAAGATCTAAATAACGCTTCACACTTAAGAAACTGATAAAGGCCAGTAGGCCACATGGCTGCCTATGAAAGGTACTGCAGGAACCCGAATGGATTTGTTTGTTCCTCTCCCTGCACGCCACAAGTACCTAAAGTTCTGATACATGGATAAATTTGAGGAAAAGATTGAATTTAATAAAGATAACATAATTGCAAGAGTAACTTTGCCAGATTGAATCTTTTTGCAGAAAACGGAATTAATTACCAGAATTACTCCACTGCAAGTGACTGATTTTTCACTTGTGCATCAGTCACCCGCCCATGCACGCCCCCAACTCACGCGCACGCCCACACACGCACGCCCGCAAGCGTCTTCTACGTCCCTCCCTCCCTCCCTCTCTCTCTCTCTCCCCGGCGCCTGGCGAGATCCTCGGCGGCGAGCCACAGCGAGCTGCTTCCCGGCGAGCCCCGAAGAGCTCCTTCTCGCGCCCCACCGCGCCCCACCCGTGCCATGGATGGCGGCTTCAAGCGGATCCAGCAGCGGCCATGGTGGATCCGGCGAGGTACGCCCTCCTCCTCCTCCTCCTCCTCCTCTTCCTCCTCCTCCTCCCGTGTTAGGGTACCAGCGAGCCTCTCCCTTCTTCCCAAACTCCGGCGGCCGTAGAAGGAAAGGGCGTTGGGTTAGGAAGGCCGGCCAGGCGGTGGGGAGACCGGCGGGCGGTTTAGGGACCCTGACGGTGGAGGCGGCCAAGCCAGGTCGGGGCGGTGGAGCTCCGGCGAAGCCCTAGCGCGCCGCGGCGGGGCTGTGGGCGGCGGCGGGGGCGAGGACGAGGACGAGAGCGCGGCCGCCAGCGAGGAAGAAGAGGACCAGGTGGGCGAGTGTGAAGACCAGGCGGGTCGGGAGGTTGAAGACGACTGCCGCACGTTGGATTAGGATCCAACGGCTCTCACCGTCGCCTGATGGATATGCAATGTTTCAGGCGACTGTGCCTGAGACACACCCATTAATTACGCATGCTACTTATAGTTACTCTTACTCAAATTCGTATGGACCCACTATGGTAGGTATAGCCAAATAGGGAATGTGGAATTCATCAGAAACCACAAATCGATTCAGACAGACTGGCAAATTTCCATAGAACAGACTCATTTCACTACATCATGAATGAATGCTACTGATATCTCAAAGAATAAAAACCAGGAAGTGGACTCCATTCTGCTGCCCATCTCAATAATTAGAACATGTTCAAGCATCCTAGCTACAAAACAATGCATGGCAATTTTTACCCAAGCAAGACAATCATAGTAGCCTCTGAGTGAAAAAGTTCAATTACCCAAGCACTCTGAACTCTGAAGCAACACAACAGGCTAAAGGGAAGTGCATGAATGATTCCGAATCGGACTGCACTAAGGACTAAGGAGGAAACAGATGCTTTAAGACGAAACAATCCAGTCATATCACATCAGGTAGGAGTATAAGATACTAAGAATGGACCTGCAATTCTCACCAAACAACTCATCCAATTGCCCAAAAAGGATTACTAAAGCAATATTGCACATCAAGCAGCCAACTAAGCCGCAGACACCACTAAATCGGATTTCAATCAACTACAGCAATATTTACACAAATGGGCATCGCTCGTGGTAATTTACTATTTTACTCACAGAAAGCCATTCTGGAACTGCTAAACGCGTGGGACAATTCATCACAAAATTGCCACAAAGAGAAGAAGGGGAAGTAACGACAACTCAACGCCAATCTCGCACCAAACTGCCTAATGAAGCGCGATCCAGACGCTACCGCAAGCGCTGCTAACGCAGCGACCATTGCACGCTAGCACGCAACGGCGCCCGGCCCCATACCAGCGCGAGGGGCAGATCGAGGCAGTTCAATTCGACCGGAGACAGCAGGCCCAGTAGGCGGAGGAGGAGGAAGCAGAGGGTGGGGGCGGTGTTCTCACAGCTTCTTGGCCTGCTCGAGCGACTTGGCGTGGCCGAAGTGGAAGAGGTCGTAGATGCCGTCGGCGTAGACCCGGATCGGCCTGTCCGTGGGCACGCCCCCCTCGCCGGCGCCATTGGTGGCGGCGTGGTCGACTTCGGCGACGTCCCCTTCGGCCTCCTTCCAGTCCTCCTCCTCCTCCTGCGAGGACTCCGGCCTCGCCCGCGCCGCCTCGGCCTTCGCGTCGTCGGCCATGTGAGGGAGGGGGAAGGGGAGCGGGGCCGAGAAGCTTCGGAAAGGGAAAGGCGAGCGGAGCGCGTCGGACTTGAGAACCTCCACCGAGCTGAGGGAAACGGCTGAGGGTACACGTAGGTTTCGGGCCCGATCGTCTGTGTCACTGTGAAGTGGGTCCAGAGGTGACGCTGCGGGCCCGGATGTGACCCTTTGGGCCCAGGTCAGGCCCTTGTGACCTCTTGTCGTCGGTAGGTAGTGTCATTCATATTTTTTCCTTGCGAGGTCATATCACCATGGTGCACCATGATGATGCGAGGACATCATACATGTGCATCACAAATAATCTATGAAAAATAATGGTCCTGGGGGATTGCTTTTATCAGAAATAAAAATCGGTTACCCAGCCAAGTGAACAATTTTATATAACATATGTAAATATGCAACTACTGGAATTCGATTTTTTTAGGGCTCGTTTGAATCTTTGGAATTGAATTCATTCTAATAATTATAATTTAGTCATAGATTAATTAAGCTAATATAGTTGTTTATGAAATATATTTGTATATTATTGTTAGCCATACAAAGGGCATACTTTATATGTTGCGTTTCTATTGTAGGGAAGCGAATTGAAGAGTGT